AGGTTTCTGAATATAACTTTATATTTGTATATACGTATCAAAGCTTATAGACAAAAGCATTTAGCTATATTATTAGACAATGCAGATTAGTTCATGACAATTCATACAATTTTGGAATATATTTGCCACTCTATACTGAAAAGTCAGATCACAGTATTTATAAAATTATACCTAAATGGTGATTTACCCAGCATTTAATCTGTGCTAACCAGTATTTGGCAGAACTCATGTTTTTAATGTACCTCACCACAATTGGCTTTTTCCATAAAGTTCCATCTTCCAGAGTCATGCGATTACATCAGAAACTTCAGGAGGAAAAAAAATAATCTAGACTTCATGGCTGTAGAGGGAAAGCTTAAAAAATGTGACCTGAATTTGCTCAAAAGCCTCAGATACCAAAGGGAAACAGCACAGTGTAGTAAATTTGTTATTGTAAAGAATGTCATGTTTGATAGAAGGAAGAATGACTCATTAATGAGCCTTTCTGTCCAGTGCTAGGTGTCAATATGTTGTGTTTACAAATTAATCCATGTCATCCAATCATAAATCTGCAGGAACTGCGGTTTTTTGGCATAACACGCCTTTCTCTGCGTAAGTGGCCCTTGATTTCAGAGCTTTCCACTATTAAAGCAACAACAGGGTCCAAAATGCTAATTCATGGTGGTGACACAAATAGAAGAAAGCTTTGCCAACAAACTTCAGCTTCGTGCACGTGCGTGGTACGGGCTCCAGGAACAGAGTAAAAGCTTCATAAATGCAAGTGGGAAAACATTTTTATGCTGTTTTGGAAATAGTCTGCATGGGAAAAATAACAGTGCTTTTGCCAATGTAACCAAACCCAGCTTCCTGTGGAGAATAGGCTATGTCAGTGAAGACACCCCTTGCTGAGATGTGTTGGGGACCTGGTGGCTCTGCTTCACAGAATCACAGAATCATTTAGGTTGGAAATGACCTCTGAGATCATCAAGTCCAATCTGTCCCCACCTCGTCAACCAGACTGTGGCATTGAGTGCCAGATCCAGTCTTTAGTTAAACACCTCCAGGGATGGTGACTCCACCACCTCCCTGGGCAGCCCGTTCCAATGTTTAATGACCCTTCCTGTGAAGAAATTCTTCCTGATGTCCAACCTAAACCTCTCCTGGCGCAGCTAAAGACCATGTCCTCTTGTCCTGTCACTTGTTCCCTGGGAGACAAACCCCCACCTGCCTACAACTTCCATTCAGGGAGTTGCAGAGAGTCCCCTTTGAGCCTCCTTTTCTCCAGGTTGAGCCTCTCCAGCTCCCTCAACCACTCCTGGTGCTCCAGACCTTTCCCCAGCTTCATTCCCTTCTCTGGACTCGCTCCAGCCCCTCAATGTCCTTCCTGAATTGAGGGGCCCAGAACTGGACACAGGACTCACTGAAGTGATGGGAGTGACTTGAACATGCGGGAGTGGACTGATTTA